CAAAGATCAGCTGGGAATCTGAAATATAGCTTAGAAGTTTTGGCCATTTGTCTGACAGATATCAAGTTGTACTTGAATGTAGGTACATAAAGCACATTGTTAAGAGTCAATATAGAATTCAAATGGACATCACCAATTTTTGAAACATACTGCACACTTCCATCAGGCAATCTTATGGGAGTAATAGCTTTAACAGGTTTAGGATTATCCAAAAAATCTAAGTTAGGACTCATACTACCGGTGGCACCCGTGTCAAATAACCAGACAAAACTCTTAATATCAGGACTACTTTTAAGCTTGTGATAGATAGTACTACCTGCAAAATCGTGCATATGAGCAAAATTCACTTGATAACTTTCTGAGTCAGCAACTCCTTTCCCCTTATTCAGCTTGCCAAGCTCCACCTGTAACTGGTTGATCTGCTTTGCCATAGCTTCAATGTAATTCCAATTCTGCCCAGAAGGTTGATTATTATCCAGTGGAGTTGATAACTCTGCTACATGTGCATAGTTGCCACTGCCTGAATTCCTGTTTTGCAGATTAGGAAAACCTTTCCTCTTGAGCTCTTTCCACCATTCAGGTACACCAAGAATCTTGAAACATGTTTCCCTCTCATGTCCTAGTCTGTTACAGAAGTCACAGAACATCTCAGCCTTGTTCTTCCGAAAAACATGAATCCTAGAACTTCCTCGTGGTGCATTATGAGACACATTTCCTGTGATTTTCCCATTTCCAGTAAAAGTACGGGCCAGCAGTGCTGTATTATCCGAAACCAGTCCTGTCTCAACAACCTGGTTAGAAGATCCTGATGCAACAAACGCCATATTATCAAGATTATTGACCACACTCTTGCCTGCCTTTTTCTCAGCCTTTTGTACCAAATTGTATGCCTTATTGACAGTAGGAGGAGGCTCCATTAGCAGAATCTGATCCTTGATAGCTTCATACGATTTATTTAGTCCCATTAAGAAATCAATCAACCTATCTTCATCCTCTCTAGCCATTAAAACTGTTGCAACTTCTGGTGGACAATTAGGAATAGGTTTATAGTGTGAATATTCATCCCACACTCTCTTAAACATTCCATAATACTTGACTAAAGTAGCATCTCCTTGCACCACAGAATTACGATCTTGTCTCATTCTATAAAGCATTTGACTATTCGAAGTACCAAAACATTCAGCCAAATCCTCCCAAAGTTGTTGCGAAGATAAATTGTACATATAACTATCAGATAGATCCTCACTTAAACTAGAAATTATCCAAGATTTCACAGTAGAGTCTACCTGATTCCACCGGTCAAAGTCGACAGAATCCTCTGCCGGACAAGGACAATCTCCGGTGATAAAACATGTCCTCATCTTCGATCTCAAGAAAGTAAGCATAGCTCGACTCCATGCTAAGTAATTTTGTTCTGTCAATTTCGCCGGAATGTTTAGAACTCCTGCATTTTCCGATCCAGCAAGATTCATAGTTGCTTCGTACTACCTCTGCTCTGCCGTTTCCCGGCGATCATCTCTGAATCTTCGATCTGTCATTTCTTTAGCTTAAACAAGAAATTGATTCGGTGAAAAACTTTCGGTGTATGTGTATTATGTATTTATGCAATCAATTGATGAATATCAAGAGCAACCTGAGCTCTGATACCATCAAAAGCTACATAGGGTTTCTTGTATGGAAGCCATGAAATACGATCTGAATTGGGAAAGAGGAAAAGGAAGAAAAAAAATGTTTGTATTGCATTCATTGAATTATACAGACGGTTAACACCGTATTTATACCTATACAGAGTAACCGCCTCACTTATTACAAATAAGTCCCTAAAGTTACAGAAAACATAAAACTGGTCCCTGACCAAAACATCAAGAACAAAACGTCAAGCTGGATCTTCTGATTCTAATTCCTCCAACCTTGGAACCTGCAACTCTTGCTTCAACTGTTATAGGAGTACTTATTTGGGGGGTATTCATGTGGTTTACTTATCCCAAGTGATTCTATAGTTAAATATGAAATACTATATGCTTAAGAGTATTTGTAAACGATGCTTTCTACATAATTGATTGGATATTTATGGAATGCAAGTAAGTTTAGTTGAGATTAATTAATGAGTCTTTAATTTGAATTATGGTAGATTATTTAAATACTTAACATCTGATTACATATAAACTTTGCCTTTTGTGCTTGTGTGAATCAACAAAGAAGGAAAAGACCACTATTTTTTTTCTTTATCAACTATTCTTGTAAAGTAGCACATGGGATCCTCTCTCCGGAACTTTCCTAAAAGGTCCTGTAAGTTTGACGAAACGATGTCGTTTCATCATCTAACTCATTAGCTCTTCAGTTTTTATCTTCCTAATTTCTTCAGTTATCAGCTTAAGACAAGCCGATTATGATTGGAATGGAATTTGGAAAGATAACATTATTTTCTCTCTTTCTCCGTCCCAGCCGCTTACTTCATCTGTCCTCCGGTGGCCTTTAATTAGTGAAGTCATTGTCGGCCTTTAATTTTTCCCATCCGGGGCTTAAAGAATTGCATTTTTGACAATTAAATCATGTATATTGTTGCTTCTTTATCCATAATCTGCTCAAAAAATCCAAAAAATATGTCTACGATCCCAAACTTTCCGGGGAACCAAGTTTGGGAACCATTTCCCATGGATGTGTGGACCCATTCAACAGTTGGCCCTTCAAAAGCATCACCAGTGGCGGTGCTAACTTCCATGGATATGAGATATAATTTCTTTATTTCACTCCCGAATTCACTCCGATTCGGTGTCGGGTTCCCGTATTTGGTTTTGACTTCGTCTATGTTATGATTTCTTTCTACTTTTGCCATTAATTATGTGTTAATTTTGTTGCTTTGAAGTTTAGTTGTCAAATCAATAACCGGTGATGACATTTAGTTCACTCCATTCTGTATTGGAGATTACGAATCTGATTTTGAAATCTAGTATCAACTTGTCAAGAATGACATTTGTGCCTCCACTTAATAGCTTGCCGGTGCTAGCTTCTGTTTTCTGCTGATTAGAGGAGTTGGCGACTGGAATATTAATGCCTATCGGATGAAAACCGGCGGTTGGATTTTGATCATGCTCAGTGCGGTGTGAAGAAGATGATGTAAATATTAAATATGTAAAAAAGGATTGACTTCGGCTTGGCTTAAGGTATAGCCAGTAAGTTAGTATCAAAAGCAAAAAAGTGATTCAATACCAAAATTACCATTATGATATTAAAAGTAAATTTTTTATTTCTCACTTTGGCTTCCATGATCCAAAAGCAACCAGACATATAAATAAATGCAGGCAATCCAAACTTTCGCACATTCTATGTTCCTAAATAGTTATGCAAGTGAGATTATTTTTTTCACAACGATTTGAGATTTTTACAAAAGAAAAAAAAACACACACGCAAAAAGAAAATGCTTTGTATCTGTTCTGATTTCTTCCAACATGTTCAAAGAATTCAAATCTCAGGTCACCTATACTGTCCTTCTTATCGTCTAGGCATAATTTTGAAGCATAAATTATTACAAAAAAGATATCAATTTGAAATGATTGGGAAAACTTTAAAATTTTCAATTAACTCGTTTTGTATTTTGATTTTAACCTCCAACGAGGAAATTAAAGAAGAAAAGCAAGCAAATCTTCTTCTTTGTCTTGCTTGACCTCATCGTGAATCCATTGATGGTGTTGTGGTCGGCCGATTATATTTTCATCGTCATAACTAGAGAAAGAATAACAAAGATATGATCAGAGATTTAGGTTGTTAAATAAATGGAGTATTTTAGTAAATTTTGTGGATGCTATAAATTTGTTTTGACAGCATCATAACCTTTACTTCCACAAACCCTTCGTTACAACGTGTAAGATCCCTAATGGAAGTAACCCAAATCTCCATTCATCTCGCAACATTTTCTCCGCTATTCACGATTTGTGTAATACTTAAATTGTCAGCCTCCGTGATTACTCTTATTCAAGGAGCTAGCTTTAAAAGTACTGTTGACATTTCTCTCACCATGTTCCAAAGTTATAAATAGACATTGAAATAAATTTCATAATTTAGCTCCAGTGGTAGAACAATACGTTGGATTGATTGTGTTTATATATATATTTTTTTCTGGCTCAACTCTCAAGATGATCGTATTGTTTGAGTTTTTATTTGTAATAAAATTTGGAACTCTAAATTATACAATTATTTCGGGACAAAAGGGTAAATGAATTGTACAAGATTCGTACTGTTGGGACTAAATTTTTCGCAGTCTTGATCCGCATGCAATGGGATGGATGTGCCTGATGAAGAGTCTTTAAGCATTTAAAGGAGATGTACCCTTAAATCTCCGGGCATGGGTAGTCCACATGCACTTTACTTCACCAATGTCAATGGAGGCAGAATTAAGTTTGTTAATAAAGTTAACATCGTAATTATTTAAATTGTTAAATCGACAAAAATAATTATTCTGTTAAGAAGAAGGGTTGTTAAGTGACAATTGTCTTGACCGGTCCAAAATACTTATGTTGCTAAGTTAGATTTCGATACAGGCAGGGTCTGTTTAACATTAGACTATTAGTTAGTGTGTGACACAAATCCACGACACATGAAATCATCCAAGTGCGAAGATGCTAATACCACAAGTCCACAACAACCAAACGAGAAGAGGATCAGATTTCTATTACACTTAAAATTTGTGTTTCTTTTTCACACCGTGGAGAAACTGAAACGAAATTAACTGTTCTTTTGTAGGAAAATGCCTTAGAAAACGAAACATGAATTCTGCAAAATCATATATACTGTGCTGTGTCGTACAAAACTACATCTAAAATGCATGCCCACCTGGATTCCATTAAGTTAATAGTTACTACACACAGCTAACCACCTCATGATCACTTGATCGCCTATAAATAGAGGATTTTCTGGGTTGGGTTTTTGCATCAAAACACATAATTCTCCAAGTTGATCACAAACAACATTCTTTTATAGTTTTATAAGTTTCTTGAGAAATGATGGCTTTCAAAAGCCCCCTATACTTTCTTCTCTATGTCATGATATTATCACTTGCTATATTCTGCTCAGCAGAAGATGATGATGACAAAACTTACTCTTCCTCTAAAGCAACTTACTACAAAAAGCGTGAAGGAGGTGATTCAAGTATTGTTTTCTCTTTTATAAACAAATAAAAAAACTGTTCAATCGTAACCTGACCGAAATTACTTATGCAGAAGGAGCTTGCGGACTGAAAGAATGGGAGAAAAAAGTTTACGACGGTAAAGTTGGCGCAGTCAGCTATAGGCTATACAAGGATGGAAAAAGCTGTGGTACATGCTATGAGGTTGGTTTTGTTGTTCTTTCAATACGTGTGACATCGATTTATCTCATTTTGCTATAAAATTTTTAACTGATGAACTTTAAATAGTAATGTTATTGGAATGATTTGATACAGGTGAAGTGCAAAGAGAAGAAATGGTGTAGTGAGAAGGGCACAAAAATGGCGGTGACCGATTGCGGCAAAGGCCGCGAAGGAACGGATTTCACCATGAGTTACGAAGCCTATGGAGATATGGCCAAAGATGAAGAGTCCAAAAAACGCCTTTTCAAAAAAGGCGAGGTTGAAGTTAAATACAAGAGGGTTAAATGTGATTATTACAAAGATGGCCAAAAATTCATTGTGAAATATGACAAGAAGAACAGCAAGTGGCCGGATTACCATAAAATCACAGCAATGTACAATGATGACAAAGATTACATCGCCAAAGTTAAAATTATAGCTGAGGTTAAATAATCTTACCCTACTAGAAAGTAAACTTAAATATTATTAGCCTTCCATAATTAAACCTTTTTAGAGTTCAATTAACGTCTTTCTCTTCTTCTTTTTTTTTTTTTTTTGGCGCCTTTTTTGGTGGTTCAGGATGAGAAGGAGAAGGAAAAGGAGAACGAAAAGGAGGAGGAGAAGGAGAAGGAGAAGGAAAAGGAGAACGAAAAGGAGAAGGAGAAGGATAAGAAGAAGGAAAAGGAGAAGGAAAAGGAGAAGGAGAACGAAAAGGAGAAGGAGAAGGATAAGAAGAAGGAAAAGGAGAACGAAAAGGAGAAGGAGAAGGAGAAGGATAAGAAGAAGGAAAAGGAGAAGGAGAAGGATAAGGAGAAGGAAAAGGAGAACGAAAAGGAGAAGGAGAAGGAGAAGGAGAAGAAGTGGGTGTTTAAGGAAATGAGAAGAGCATATGGAGCAGTTTGGGACATTGCTACTTATAAGCCAAAGTCATTTGTGGAGATCGAGACAGAGAAGGGAAAGAAATATTATGAGCGGGTTAAATACATGGACAAAGATGAGAAAGATGAGAAAGATGATAAGGGTGAAAAAGATGATAAAGATGACAAGAATAAAAAAGATGGAGCAGCTGATGATGATCGTGATCATGGGAAATCTTCAGCTAAAGCAGCCACCGAAAAGCTCATCAACTAAATTATATGTATTCAACGCTACCTGAAGAAAAAATGGAGTACTTATTTGGGGGGTAATAATCGTGTGGTTTTAATTATCCCAAGTGATTCTATAGTTAAATATGAAATACTATATGCTTAAGAGTGTTTGTAAACGATGCTTTCTACATAATTGATCGGATATTTATGGAATGAAAGTAATTTCTATTAAGATTAATAAATTACAAGTTAATTTGAATTATGATCTGTAGTATATTATTTAAATACTTAACATCTGCTTACATACTTTGCTTTTGTGTGTGTGTTTATGTGAATCAACGAAGAAGGAAAAGACCACTATTTCACGATGCTTTCTACATAATTGATCGGAAATTTATGGAATGCAAGTAATTTTTATTATGATTAATAAATTACAAGTTAATTTGAATTATGATATGTAAGATATTATTTAAATACTTAACATCTGCTTACATGCTTTGCTTTTGTGTGTGTGTTTATGTGAATCATCGAAGAAGGAAAAGACTACTTTTTCTTTTTTTCTTTATCAAATATTCTTATGATGTAGACAAGAGGGTAGATGCATTTATATAAAATTGTTCTGCTTTTTCAAAAAAAAAAAAAAATTGTTTTCACATTTACAGAAATTCTCAAGTACTAGAAAGTGTAATGAACTTAGAGATATCGTGCGTCTCAATTTTCATGGGATTTATTATTTTTGCAAAGTTCGTCGTTATCCACATTGATTGAAAAAATTTAAAATTACAAAAACATATAGGCTATTTCTTTTATTTGGTAAAATTAGGAATCGTATAATATCGACATTTCATTTTAAGCACAAAGTTATACACTTAAAAGACTCAATTCCTGTCCCAAATTCATGATACACATATACTAATTAACGTCAAAGAGTAATTTAACTTGCTTAGAATGTCTGATATAACTATGATTTGTAAAGAAATTAAGGGACAATTGTTTATAGATATAAAAATTCCATTTTTCCCAAATTGATTAGAGTTGTCACTTTATTACAACTAGTTGGATAAGAAAAATTTGAAGAAAAACAATTTGATAATTTTGCCCTTGAAAAGACAATGAACTTACTTTCATATAATATCTAATTTAGCAGTGAACTTCTGGGACAGTTATTTTGTCCTAGGGTTTCTTCTCTCTGGGAAGTTACCTTTAGTGTCCTAGTTCCTTCTAGTGGCCGCTTCGTCTTCCATATCTAGATCCGTCGGATAGTGATCAAAATCATCCTCGTTCTCTTCAATCTCTTCTAGTGTTTCAGGATTTTCAAACAATGAAATTAATGTCTTTTATAAAACATCTCCTTCTAATCGTAAAACCCTAAAAATTTTTTATACTTTTACTCATTTACTCTTGTGTTTGTGTTTTAGTATTATTTGTTTGTCTGTTTTCACAGATCTCATCGCCACCTTAGGGATCAACAATGGGTTGTTCTCTTCTTCACATAGATCTACACTATTATGGATCATTCATTGGAAGAATTTTGTGCCAAGATGAGTTTGAATTAACCAAAAAAGGTGCCTCTTTCGCCTCGATTGATCGGGATCAGGGTCAAGGAATCTGTTTGTTGGGAAACTCATAGCCCAAGAGATCGCTTTCTTAGCCATAACAACATTTTCAACCATTTAAAACCTACTGGAATATACGAGTGATAACACTTAAATTTGACCCCCTTTTAGCAACCAATTCTTATTCCTTTTTACTGACAAATTAGTGTCAATTAAGTAGAAGTACTTTACTTTTGGGTTAATTTTACATTTCAGGGGATCAGAGGGCTAAAGTGGAATTTTCCAAAAATATTGTGCCAAAAAGTGAAAAAGAGCATCAAAAGGGATCATAAATGAAGTTGTTGGAAATGAAAGCTAGAATTGATCAAAAGAAGAGAAGGCAAAGGTTGAATCCTTGCTGATAAATTAAGAATGGCCACATCATCATCACAAGTTGATGTTCTTTGCAAATGGAAGCCAAAAGAAGAAGAAGAAAATGCAGCAAGTTGAAGCCATTGTGCTGCTGCTGTTGCTAATTCTGATCGATTGAAGAAGAAGAGAAGCTGAAATCATGTTACTGAAGGAAGATTGTTGATCCACCATCACAAGTGGTTGATTCCTTGCAAGTGAAAGAAGAGAAAGAGGAAGAATATTGAGCTCAATTAGGGCCATATTGCTGTTGTTTCTGATAAACAAGAAACCAGGAATCAAGGAAGAGGCTGCTGATGTTGATGCTGGAGCTGCTACTAATAGGTTGATTTCAATCAAGCAGAAAAGACAGAGCAGAAGATTGGAGGCTGGAACAGAGGAAAGAAGAAGGAACATGACGATTGAAACAGAAGCATGTTACTGATGCAACTGCTATTGTCTCTACTGCTGGTTGATTGAAGGATTACGGAAAGAAGAAAGGAAAATTGGAAGCTGGAATTGAAGTAGAGGCGCCGGAGAAGATGACTAAAGGATGAGGCCATGATGACAAGAAGTTGACTATTGGGGCTGAAGAAGAAAAGGACGGCCAATCAGGAGAAGGCAACTTGGAAAGTTGACAAGTTGCCCAAATAAACAACTCCACCCTGCTGCAAGTTGTTCCTCTGTTGCCGAGGCAAAAGAGGACGTGAAGAAGCAACGATCAAGCTATCTCCTATCCCTACATATAGGACAGACAGTTGTAGTTGAATAATAACAGATTGGGAAGTTATAATAGATCCAAATACAGAAGTAGTTAAGTAGTTAGTTAGTAACAGAAAATAGAGAGTTGCAGAAGAAACTGTCACTTGGGCAAGTGACGAAATTCACTCCCCCAAGTGAGTAGACAGAATCCTCTCTGCTGCTTTCCTTCTTCCTTTTTATGTACTACTTTGAATCTGAAATCATGATGGATGTTTTGTATTTCATTGATCTCATTTTAGATCAATAAACATAAGTAGCTAAACTCTTGCCCGGGATCTAATCCCTACTATTTATATATGGATGTTTTGATTCAAGTTCTCATATGAAGCATTGTATCTAGTTTAAGTACTTTAATTAACCTTTTAGTTAAACTGGCCACTTTGCTAATTGTCCATGCATATTATGGAATCTTGAGAGGGTGAATAGAATTTTAATACGGTTGACCTAGTCAATGACAACGGGGATAACAACCCTTGATTTTAATCATCAAGGAGAGTTAGTTGATTGGCATAGGTGATCACTAAGGCTCGGGGTGATGAATAATTATCACAGAGATGTAGTTAATTTGATTATTTGGCACTCTTTATCGGTATCGAAAGTGAACGTAGGGAATATAGGTGTCTCATCAGAAAATGCTCATATATCCAAAAAGAAATACAAGAATCATAATATGATCATTTAGATAAGAAGCAGAATGACCCTAGTTCTTCATCACTCTGTCTAGTGACTCTCTCATACTGTCCCAGATCGTCCTTGACTATGAGGATGTGGTGCACGACATGATGGATTTTTCTGCAAATGAAGAACTGCCTTATGCACTTTGTGAAGATGCTTTATAAGAAGTATGGACCGTCAATGCCCTTAGTTATCTCAAACACTTCCCTGCTTCAGAACTTAAGCAGGAGTACAAGTCATGGTTCAATTTCATCTACACAAATCTCATACCCAGTCGAAACCGCAGGGCTAGTGAGTTTTGAAGCAGCATTGTTGCTTTATGCTATTGCCCTCAACATTCCAATAGAGCAGCAACACTCATTCGGAGACAAATGCAAAACTGTAATGGCATAAGGTAGAAAAATTTGTTCTTTTCGATCCTGGCTATTAGACTGATGATGAGAACTGATGTAAAATTTCTACACAGTGATGAGAGAGGAGAAATTCTAGCACCATTGCGTTTGGAAGGCTCACCCCATCCCTATCACGGATGAACCCCTGATCACCCAGGGGAATTTTCCTTTTTGTTTATGTTTTCTTTTTTAATTTTTTGGTATAGTTGAGTCTATTTATGTATATCAGTCTGTATTTTAGTGTCTCTTGCATGTTTTCTGTGCATATCTGTGTGTGTTTGTCATCTAGCCTATACCTTTGTTTGTAAGCATTGAGGATAGTTCTTGTTTTAAGTTTGGAGGGAGGGTGAATTTGGATTTATATCTATGTAAGTGTTTATTTACAGACTGTGACAGGATAATTTTGAAAAGTTAAACATTGTGTGTAAGTGTTTATGAACCAGTTCGGTAAACATTGTGTGTCAAAGTCTATGATAATTAAAAAAGTGTGGGAAATTTATACAGTTTTAGCAGGCAATTTTTACTCATTTTTACTTAGAATTAGTTTATTTTTTGGTTGATGTTGTACTTCAGGGTAATCAAGCAGCCAATGTGGAAAATCAGCATAAATGAGGGCCAAATTGCACAAAAGAGCATCATTCTGCATTGAATTGGAAGCTGATGGAATTCAAGCTGCTGGAGGATCGGTCAGAGCTGAAGCAAGTGGAGAAATCCTTACTGAGGAAGGAAGAATGGCAGCAGATGATCACAATTGGAAGGAATCTGCAGCAGCAGACTCAAATGAGAAGAAGAATGGCAGTTGTTCTGCTGCCAAGTTGTTGCTGCATTAGCTGTTGCTACTGTCAATGGAGGAGTCACGAGCTGAAATCTTGGTGCCCAAGAAACGAAGTGCTTTACCATCATCGCAAGTTGTTGCTGCTGCAAGTGGAAGAAAAGAAAGAGGGAGTATATGTGAAGAACAATACTGCAACTCGCTACTTACCAACCGATGTTACCGCTGAGTTGATGGATTGGATGCTGCAGAAGGGTGAGCAATGGTGTAGCAATTGACCCGGAAACAAGGAAGAAAAGGACAGAAGATTGAGGCTGAATTCGGGGCTGAAAACACAATGGTGGAAGGAAGCTTGCTGCTCATGCTGCTGCTTGCTGCTGCTGCTAGTTGAGCTGTGAGGATTAAAGAATGAAGAAATGGAGATTTGTGGCTGCAAATGGTGAGGATGCGCCGGAGAAGAAGACTAAGGAGAAGAAGCAATGATAAGTAGAAGGTGACTAATTGCGGCTGAAGAAAAGAAAGGAGCTGCCAAGAGAAGACAGTAACTTGCCAATTGGGCAAGTTGCTGAATAAACAAATCACTTCAGCTGCTGCAACTTGCTTCTTCGTCCAATCTGCTGCAAGGAAGGCCAGAACTCCACTAATCCAAGCCTCTCCAAGTCTCAATAAATAGTTTGCGAATAGCAGTTAGAAAGGAGGAGAGATTGGGTAGTAAGAATCAGTTACAAAGACAATAGTTAGGTAGTTAGTTAGTTGGGTAGAAACAAGGTAGTAGCAGGAGCAAAAGTGCAAACTGTCACTCTGTTAAGTGGCGAACGCCACTCGCCATAGTTAGCATACAGAAACTGCCCCTGCTACCATCTTCCCCTTCTATCCTCTAACCTTTTGATCTTATGTCTTATCTTTTGTACTCTGTTGCTCTCATGTTTAACTCAATAAACATGAGTAGCTAACTCAGTTAAGGGTTCAATCCCTACTATCTTTATGTGAAAGTTTTGATTCAGTTTCCCGTGATGAGGCATTGTGTCTTGATAAGTGTGTTAATTAACCTTTTGATTAAACTGGCCACTTAATTATATATGCATGTATAGTTATGAAGATCGAGAAGGGGAGCATAACTTTAGAACGGCATAATCTAGTCTATGACAAAGGAGGAAATCTACCCTTTGGTTTCAATTATCAGTGAGAGTTAGGTGATTGGCATAGGTGATCAAAGAGGGCTTGTGAACTAAATGGCTTAGATTAATGAATTCCACTGACTGAGAGGTAGGTAATTTAGATAATCTAGGACTCTTTATTCTGTCTGAGAGGAATTATAAAGAATATATGTACCTGATCAAACAATAAATCATACACTACAGGATTACTTGAATCAAATTTGGATCATAAAGGTAGGAAGGTGATTGACCCTTCTGCCTCTTCATTCTGTCAAGTGACTATTCTCACTCTCCCAAGTGACAAATCTGTTCAGTTCATTTACTTTCCTTTTCTGGCACTTTAAACGGATTGTGAGTGGTTGACTGCCATCTCTTTGGAACGACCCTTCTTACCGCTAGCTAATAGTTTTAAATAGATTTTATAAATATTCTTTTGGGGGTGCATCAACGACTGCTAATCCACCACCAGCTCGACCCAGACTTCTACGAGACTAATTTGTACTGCAGGGGGAAGAAGTACAAACTCCCCTGGTGTAACAATGATGTTGAGGCAGAAAACTTCGAGCTCAAAACACAGATGATACAATGGGTACAAGTTGCATGTCCCTTCTATGGACTACCTAGTGAGGACCCAAATGAGCACATTAGGAAATTCCTGAGATTGTGCAGCAACTTCAAGATTCAAGGGTTGTCCAAAGACGATGTATACTTGAGATTGTTTCCATTCACATTGCATGATATTGCAGCTAAATGGTTGGACACTATGACCAACAATTCAATCAACTCCGGGAATGGACTCAGACAAGCATTCCCAACAAGCCTGTTAAAACTGTTGCACTTAGATCAGCCATCATGACTTTTCAGTAGCATGGGATAGAAACTCTTTATGAGGCATGGTAGAAGTTCAAGGACCTGATGAGGAAATATCCTCAACATGGCATTGACAAACCAATGCAGCTGTGTATTTTGTACAATTGATTGCAGCAACCCTCCAGAGAATCCTTAGATTCATCAGCTGGAGGGGCATTCATGATGAAGCCATTAGAGGAAGCAGTGCAGCTGCTGGAAAACATGTCCACAAATCACTTCAGATGACAACCAGACACTAGAACTACTGCCAAGAAACCAGGCATCCTCAATACTACCATTATCTCTTGAGTATGACAGTATCCTGTTCTGCATTCTTCTGCCTCTGATACTAGCATGAAAGAAGGTTGTGTTCCTGTTACCTTCCTTCACCTAATTCTCTTTGGCTTTTTGTTCTAAGTAACTCATAGCAGCTTTACTCTTGTTGACATGTTGTTCTACTGCTTCTTTTTCTTTCGTTTACAGGTTTACATCACCCGAGTTATAGGCCAATTACACTCGTATTCTCTTGTCAGATTTTCCCAAGCTTCCTGCGCTTGTCTTTCAATAACAAAAAACTGCTCTCTGTTGAGGATCTTCAACTTGTCTTTTATCCCTTGCTGCCATTTTACTATTTGAAACTATTTGATACCCTCCAGATCCTTACTGCAAGACTGTTCTATTATGTCTTTAAATTCGGGGGACTGGCTCCACATATTCTAGTATTTGAAAGCCTTTTTCTTCATTCTATTTTCACCATTCATTGTAACTAGTACAAGGCAGTGATCAAAGATTCCTGCTTGGGGTAATGTTGCATAACCGGTATCATAATTTATCAACCATTTTTCATTGATTAAACATCGATGCATCGAATAGTTTTTGATGTAGACAATCGAAACTGGTAATATGTAAGAGAATCAATCGTAAAATTCAATTATTATTCACAAATAAGTTGGCTAGTGATTCTACCAATATAAAAGTTAGTAGTTAGTATCAAAAGCAAAAAAGTGATTCAATACCAAAATTACCCATTACGATATTAAAAGTAAATTTTTTATTTCTCACTTTGGCTTCCATGATCCAAAAGCAACCAGATATATAAATAAATGCAGGCAATCCAAACTTTCGCACATTCTATGTTCCTAAATAGTTATGCAAGTGAGATTGTTTTTTTCACAACGATTTGAGATTTTTACAAAAGAAAAAAAAACACACACGCAAAAAGAAAATGCTTTGTATCTGTTCTGATTTCTTCCAACATGTTCAAAGAATTCAAATCTCAGGTCACCTATACTGTCCTTATCGTCTAGGCATAATTTTGAAGCATAAATTATTACAAAAAAGATATCAATTTGAAATGATTGGGAAAACTTTAAAATTTTCAATTAACTCGTTTTGTATTTTGATTTTAACCTCCAACGAGGAAATTAAAGAAGAAAAGCGAGCAAATCTTCTTCTTTGTCTTGCTTGACCTCATCGTAAATCCATTGATGGTGTTGTGGTCGGCCGATTATATTTTCATCGTCATAACTAGAGAAAGAATAACAAAGATATGATCAGAGATTTAGGTTGTTAAATAAATGGAGTATTTTAGTAAATTTTGTGGATGCTATAAATTTGTTTTGACAGCATCATAACCTTTACTTCCACAAACCCTTCGTTACAACGTGTAAGATCCCTAATGGAAGTAACCCAAATCTCCATTCATCTCGCAACATTTTCTCCGCTATTCACGATTTGTGTAATACTTAAATTGTCAGCCTCCGTGATTACTCTTATTCAAGGAGCTAGCTTTAAAAGTACTGTTGACATTTCTCTCACCATGTTCCAAAGTTATAAATAGACATTGAAATAAATTTCATAATTTAGCTCCAGTGGTAGAACAATACGTTGGATTGATTGTGTTTATATATATATTTTTTTCTGGCTCAACTCTCAAGATGATCGTATTGTTTGAGTTTTTATTTGTAATAAAATTTGGAACTCTAAATTATACAATTATTTCGGGACAAAAGGGTAAATGAATTGTACAAGATTCGTACTGTTGGGACTAAATTTTTCGCAGTCTTGATCCGCATGCAATGGGATGGATGTGCCTGATGAAGAGTCTTTAAGCATTTAAAGGAGATGTACCCTTAAATCTCCGGGCATGGGTAGTCCACATGCACTTTACTTCACCAATGTCAATGGAGGCAGAATTAAGTTTGTTAATAAAGTTAACATCGTAATTATTTAAATTGTTAAATCGACAAAAATAATTATTCTGTTAAGAAGAAGGGTTGTTAAGTGACAATTGTCTTGACCGGTCCAAAATACTTATGTTGCTAAGTTAGATTTCGATACAGGCAGGGTCTGTTTAACATTAGACTATTAGTTAGTGTGTGACACAAATCCACGACACATGAAATCATCCAAGTGCGAAGATGCTAATACCACAAGTCCACAACAACCAAACGAGAAGAGGATCAGATTTCTATTACACTTAAAATTTGTGTTTCTTTTTCACACCGTGGAGAAACTGAAACGAAATTAACTGTTCTTTTTGTAGGAAAATGCCTTAGAAAACGAAACATGAATTCTGCAAAATCATATATACTGTGCTGTGTCGTACAAAACTACATCTAAAATGCATGCCCACCTGGATTCCATTAAGTTAATAGTTACTACACACAGCTAACCACCTCATGATCACTTGATCGCCTATAAATAGAGGATTTTCTGGGTTGGGTTTTTGCATCAAAACACATAATTCTCCAAGTTGATCACAAACAACATTCTTTTATAGTTTTATAAGTTTCTTGAGAAATGATGGCTTTCAAAAGCCCCCTATACTTTCTTCTCTATGTCATGATATTATCACTTGCTATATTCTGCTCAGCAGAAGATGATGATGACAAAACTTACTCTTCCTCTAAAGCAACTTACTACAAAAAGCGTGAAGGAGGTGATTCAAGTATTGTTTTCTCTTTTATAAACAAATAAAAAAACTGTTCAATCGTAACCTGACCGAAATTACTTATGCAGAAGGAGCTTGCGGACTGAAAGAATGGGAGAAAAAAGTTTACGACGGTAAAGTTGGCGCAGTCAGCTATAGGCTATACAAGGATGGAAAAAGCTGTGGTACATGCTATGAGGTTGGTTTTGTTGTTCTTTCAATACGTGTGACATCGATTTATCTCATTTTGCTATAAAATTTTTAACTGATGAACTTTAAATAGTAATGTTATTGGAATGATTTGATACAGGTGAAGTGCAAAGAGAAGAAATGGTGTAGTGAGAAGGGCACAAAAATGGCGGTGACCGATTGCGGCAAAGGCCGCGAAGGAACGGATTTCACCATGAGTTACGAAGCCTATGGAGATATGGCCAAAGATGAAGAGTTCAAAAACGCCTTTTCAAAAAGGCGAGGTTGAAGTTAAATACAAGAGGGTTAAATGTGATTATTACAAAGATGGCCAAAAATTCATTGTGAAATATGACAAGAAGAACAGCAAGTGGCCGGATTACCATAAAATCACAGCAATGTACAATGATGACAAAGATTACATCGCCAAAGTTAAAATTATAGCTGAGGTTAAATAATCTTACCCTACTAGAAAGTAAACTTAAATATTATTAGCCTTCCATAATTAAACCTTTTTAGAGTTCAATTAACGTCTTTCTCTTCTTCTTTTTTTTTTTTTTTTGGCGCCTTTTTGGTGGTTCAGGATGAGAAGGAGAAGGAAAAGGAGAACGAAAAGGAGGAGGAGAAGGAGAAGGAGAAGGAAAAGGAGAACGAAAAGGAGAAGGAGAAGGATAAGAAGAAGGAAAAGGAGAACGAAAAGGAGAAGGAGAACGAAAAGGAGAAGGAGAAGGATAAGAAGAAGGAAAAGGAGAACGAAAAGGAGAAGGAGAAGGAGAAGGATAAGAAGAAGGAAAAGGAGAAGGAGAAGGATAAGGAGAAGGAAAAGGAGAACGAAAAGGAGAAGGAGAAGGAGAAGGAGAAGAAGTGGGTGTTTAAGGAAATGAGAAGAGCATATGGAGCAGTTTGGGACATTGCTACTTATAAGCCAAAGTCATTTGTGGAGATCGAGACAGAGAAGGGAAAGAAATATTATGAGCGGGTTAAATACATGGACAAAGATGAGAAAGATGAGAAAGATGATAAGGGTGAAAAAGATGATAAAGATGACAAGAATAAAAAAGATGGAGCAGCTGATGATGATCGTGATCATGGGAAATCTTCAGCTAAAGCAGCCACCGAAAAGCTCATCAACTAAATTATATGTATTCAACGCTACCTGAAGAAAAAATGGAGTACTTATTTGGGGGGTAATAATCGTGTGGTTTTAATTATCCCAAGTGATTCTATAGTTAAATATGAAATACTATATGCTTAAGAGTGTTTGTAAACGATGCTTTCTACATAATTGATCGGATATTTATGGAATGAAAGTAATTTCTATTAAGATTAATAAATTACAAGTTAATTTGAATTATGATCTGTAGTATATTATTTAAATACTTAACATCTGCTTACATACTTTGCTTTTGTGTGTGTGTTTATGTGAATCAACGAAGAAGGAAAAGACCACTATTTCACGATGCTTTCTACATAATTGATCGGAAATTTATGGAATGCAAGTAATTTTTATTATGATTAATAAATTACAAGTTAATTTGAATTATGATATGTAAGATATTATTTAAATACTTAACATCTGCTTACATGCTTTGCTTTTGTGTGTGTGTTTATGTGAATCATCGAAGAAGGAAAAGACTACTTTTTCTTTTTTCTTTATCAAATATTCTTATGATGTAGACAAGAGGGTAGATGCATTTATATAAAATTGTTCTGCTTTTTCAAAAAAAAAAATTGTTTTCACATTTACAGAAATTCTCAAGTACTAGAAAGTGTAATGAACTTAGAGATATCGTGCGTCTCAATTTTCATGGGATTTATTATTTTTGCAAAGTTCGTCGTTATCCACATTGATTGAAAAAATTTAAAATTACAAAAACATATAGGCTATTTCTTTTATTTGGTAAAATTAGGAATCGTATAATATCGACATTTCATTTTAAGCACAAAGTTATACACTTAAAAGACTCAATTCCTGTCCCAAATTCATGATACACATATACTAATTAACGTCAAAGAGTAATTTAACTTGCTTAGAATGTCTGATATAACTATGATTTGTAAAGAAATTAAGGGACAATTGTTTATAGATATAAAAATTCCATTTTTCCCAAATTGATTAGAGTTGTCACTTTATTACAACTAGTTGGATAAGAAAAATTTGAAGAAAAACAATTTGATAATTTTGCCCTTGAAAAGACAATGAACTTACTTTCATATAATATCTAATTTAGCAGTGAACTTCTGGGACAGTTATTTTGTCCTAGGGTTTCTTCTCTCTGGGAAGTTACCTTTAGTGTCCTAGTTCCTTCTAGTGGCCTCTTCGTCTTCCATATCTAGATCCGTCGGATAGTGATCAAAATCATCCTCGTTCTCTTCAATCTCTTCTAGTGTTTCAGGATTTTCAAACAATGAAATTAATGTCTTTTATAAAACATCTCCTTCTAATCGTAAAACCCTAAAAATTTTTTATACTTTTACTCATTTACTCTTGTGTTTGTGTTTTAGTATTATTTGTTTGTCTGTTTTCACAAGATCTCATCGCCACCTTAGGGATCAACAATGGGTTGTTCTCTTCTTCACATAGATCTACACTATTATGGATCATTCATTGGAAGAATTTTGTGCCAAGATGAGTTTGAATTAACCAAAAAAGGTGCCTCTTTCGCCTCGATTGATCGGGATCAGGGTCAAGGAATCTGTTTGTTGGGAAACTCATAGCCCAAGAGATCGCTTTCTTAGCCATAACAACATTTTCAACCATTTAAAACCTACTGGAATATACGAGTGATAACACTTAAATTTGACCCCCTTTTAGCAACCAATTCTTATTCCTTTTTACTGACAAATTAGTGTCAATTAAGTAGAAGTACTTTACTTTTGGGTTAATTTTACATTTCGGGGATCGAGAGGGCTAAAGTGGAATTTTCCAAAATATTGTGCCAAAAAGTGAAAAAGAGCATCAAAAGGGATCATAAATGAAGTTGTTGGAAATGAAAGCTAGAATTGATCAAAAGAAGAGAAGGCAAAGGTTGAATCCTTGCTGATAAATTAAGAATGGCCACATCATCATCACAAGTTGATGTTCTTTGCAAATGGAAGCCAAAAGAAGAAGAAGAAAATGCAGCAAGTTGAAGCCATTGTGCTGCTGCTGTTGCTAATTCTGATCGATTGAAGAAGAAGAGAAGCTGAAATCATGTTACTGAAGGAAGATTGTTGATCCACCATCACAAGTGGTTGATTCCTTGCAAGTGAAAGAAGAGAAAGAGGAAGAATATTGAGCTCAATTAGGGCCATATTGCTGTTGTTTCTGATAAACAAGAAACCAGGAATCAAGGAAGAGGCTGCTGATGTTGATGCTGGAGCTGCTACTAATAGGTTGATTTCAATCAAGCAGAAAAGACAGAGCAGAAGATTGGAGGCTGGAACAGAGGAAAGAAGAAGGAACATGACGATTGAAACGAAGCATGTTAACGATGCAACCGCTATTGTCTCTACTGCTGGTTGATTGAAGGATTACGGAAAGAAGAAAGGAAAATTGGAAGCTGGAATTGAAGTAGAGGCGCCGGAGAAGATGACTAAAGGATGAGGCCATGATGACAAGAAGTTGACTATTGGGGCTGAAGAAGAAAAGGACGGCCAATCAGGAGAAGGCAACTTGGAAAGTTGACAAGTTGCCCAAATAAACAACTCCACCCTGCTGCAAGTTGTTCCTCTGTTGCCGAGGCAAAAGAGGACGTGAAGAAGCAACGATCAAGCTATCTCCTATCCCTACATATAGGACAGACAGTTGTAGTTGAATAATAACAGATTGGGAAGTTATAATAGATCCAAATACAGAAGTAGTTAAGTAGTTAGTTAGTAACAGAAAATAGAGAGTTGCAGAAGAAACTGTCACTTGGGCAAGTGACGAAATTCACTCCCCCAAGTGAGTAGACAGAATCCTCTCTGCTGCTTTCCTTCTTCCTTTTTATGTACTACTTTGAATCTGAAATCATGATGGATGTTTTGTATTTCATTGATCTCATTTTAGATCAATAAACATAAGTAGCTAAACTCTTGCCGGGATCTAATCCCTACTATTTATATATGGATGTTTTGATTCAAGTTCTCATATGAAGCATTGTATCTAGTTTAAGTACTTTAATTAACCTTTTAGTTAAACTGGCCACTTTGCTAATTGTCCATGCATATTATGGAATCTTGAGAGGGTGAATAGAATTTTAATACGGTTGACCTAGTCAATGACAACGGGGATAACAACCCTTGATTTTAATCATCAAGGAGAGTTAGTTGATTGGCATAGGTGATCACTAAGGCTCGGGGTGATGAATAATTATCACAGAGATGTAGTTAATTTGATTATGCTGGCACTCTTTACTGGTATCGAAAGTGAACGTAGGGAATATAGGTGTCTCATCAGAAAATGCTCATATATCCAAAAAGAAATACAAGAATCATAATATGATCATTTAGATAAGAAGCAGAATGACCCTAGTTCTTCATCACTCTGTCTAGTGACTCTCTCATACTGTCCCAGATCGTCCTTGACTATGAGGATGTGGTGCACGACATGATGGATTTTTCTGCAAATGAAGAACTGCCTTATGCACTTTGTGAAGATGCTTTATAAGAAGTATGGACCGTCAATGCCCTTAGTTATCTCAAACACTTCCCTGCTTCAGAACTTAAGCAGGAGTACAAGTCATGGTTCAATTTCATCTACACAAATCTCATACCCAGTCGAAACCGCAGGCTAGTGAGTTTTGAAGCAGCATTGTTGCTTTATGCTATTGCCCTCAACATTCCAATAGAGCAGCAACACTCATTCGGAGACAAATGCAAAACTGTAATGGCATAAGGTAGAAAAATTTGTTCTTTTCGATCCTGGCTATTAGACTGATGATGAGAACTGATGTAAAATTTCTACACAGTGATGAGAGAGGAGAAATTCTAGCACCATTGCGTTTGGAAGGCTCACCCCATCCCTATCACGGATGAACCCCTGATCACCCAGGGGAATTTTCCTTTTTGTTTATGTTTTCTTTTTTAATTTTTTGGTATAGTTGAGTCTATTTATGTATATCAGTCTGTATTTTAGTGTCTCTTGCATGTTTTCTCGTGCATATCGTGTGTGTTTGTCATCTAGCCTATACCTTTGTTTGTAAGCATTGAGGATAGTTCTTGTTTTAAGTTTGGAGGGAGGGTGAATTTGGATTTATATCTATGTAAGTGTTTATTTACTGATGTGACAGGATAATTTTGAAAAGTTAAACATTGTGTGTAAGTGTTTATGAACCAGTTCGGTAAACATTGTGTGTCAAAGTCTATGATAATTAAAAAGTGTGGGAAATTTATACAGTTTTAGCAGGCAATTTTTACTCATTTTTACTTAGAATTAGTTTATTTTTTGGTTGATGTTGTACTTCAGGGTAATCAAGCAGCCAATGTGGAAAATCAGCATAAATGAGGGCCAAATTGCACAAAAGAGCATCATTCTGCATTGAATTGGAAGCTGATGGAATTCAAGCTGCTGGAGGATCGGTCAGAGCTGAAGCAAGTGGAGAAATCCTTACTGAGGAAGGAAGAATGGCAGCAGATGATCACAATTGGAAGGAATCTGCAGCAGCAGACTCAAATGAGAAGAAGAATGGCAGTTGTTCTGCTGCCAAGTTGTTGCTGCATTAGCTGTTGCTACTGTCAATGGAGGAGTCACGAGCTGAAATCTTGGTGCCCAAGAAACGAAGTGCTTTACCATCACTGCAAGTTGTTGCTGCTGCAAGTGGAAGAAAAGAAAGAGGGAGTATATGTGAAGAACAACAGCTGCAACTCTGCTACTTACCAACTGATGTTACTGCTGAGTTGATGGATTGGATGCTGCAGAAGGGTGAGCAATGGTGTAGCAATTGACCCGGAAACAAGGAAGAAAAGGACAGAAGATTGAGGCTGAATTCGGGGCTGAAAACACAATGGTGGAAGGAAGCTTGCTGCTCATGCTGCTGCTTGCTGCTGCTGCTAGTTGAGCTGTGAGGATTAAAGAATGAAGAAATGGAGATTTGTGGCTGCAAATGGTGAGGATGCGCCGGAGAAGAAGACTAAGGAGAAGAAGCAATGATAAGTAGAAGGTGACTAATTGCGGCTGAAGAAAAGAAAGGAGCTGCCAAGAGAAGACAGTAACTTGCCAATTGGGCAAGTTGCTGAATAAACAAATCACTTCAGCTGCTGCAACTTGCTTCTTCGTCCAATCTGCTGCAAGGAAGGCCACAGAACTCCACTAATCCAAGCCTCTCCAAGTCTCAATAAATAGTTTGCGAATAGCAGTTAGAAAGGAGGAGAGATTGGGTAGTAAGAATCAGTTACAAAGACAATAGTTAGGTAGTTAGTTAGTTGGGTAGAAACAAGGTAGTAGCAGGAGCAAAAGTGCAAACTGTCACTCTGTTAAGTGGCGAACGCCACTCGCCATAGTTAGCATACAGAAACTGCCCCTGCTACCATCTTCCCCTTCTATCCTCTAACCTTTTGATCTTATGTCTTATCTTTTGTACTCTGTTGCTCTCATGTTTAACTCAATAAACATGAGTAGCTAACTCAGTTAAGGGTTCAATCCCTACTATCTTTATGTGAAAGTTTTGATTCAGTTTCCCGTGATGAGGCATTGTGTCTTGATAAGTGTGTTAATTAACCTTTTGATTAAACTGGCCACTTAATTATATATGCATGTATAGTTATGAAGATCTGAGAAGGGGAGCATAACTTTAGAACGGCATAATCTAGTCTATGACAAAGGAGGAAATCTACCCTTTGGTTTCAATTATCAGTGAGAGTTAGGTGATTGGCATAGGTGATCAAAGAGGGCTTGTGAACTAAATGGCTTAGATTAATGAATTCCACTGACTGAGAGGTAGGTAATTTAGATAATCTAGGACTCTTTATTCTGTCTGAGAGGAATTATAAAGAATATATGTACCTGATCAAACAATAAATCATACACTACAGGATTACTTGAATCAAATTTGGATCATAAAGGTAGGAAGGTGATTGACCCTTCTGCCTCTTCATTCGTCAAGTGACTATTCTCACTCTCCCAAGTGACAAACTGCTTCAGTTCATTTACTTTCCTTTTCGGCACTTTAAACGGATTGTGAGTGGTTGACTGCCATCTCTTTGGAACGACCCTTCTTACCGCTAGCTAATAGTTTTAAATAGATTTTATAAATATTCTTTTGGGGTGCATCAACGATCGCTAATCCACCACCAGCTCGACCAGCACTTCTACGAGACTAATTTGTACTGCAGGGGAAGAAGTACAAACTCCCCGGTGTAACAATGATGTTGAGGCAGAAAACTTCGAGCTCAAAACACGATGATACAATGGGTACAAGTTGCATGTCCCTTCTATGGACTACCTAGTGAGGACCCAAATGAGCACATTAGGAAATTCCCGAGATTGTGCAGCAACTTCAAGATTCAAGGGTTGTCCAAAGACGATGTATACTTGAGATTGTTTCCATTCACATTGCATGATATTGCAGCTAAATGGTTGGACACTATGACCAACAATTCAATCAACTCCGGAATGGACTCGACAAGCATTCCCAACAAGCTCGTTAAAACCGTTGCACTTAGATCAGCCATCATGACTTTTCAGTAGCATGGGATAGAAACTCTTTATGAGGCATGGTAGAAGTTCAAGGACCGATGAGGAAATATCTCAACATGGCATTGACAAACCAATGCAGCTGTGTATTTTGTACAATTGATTGCAGCAACCCTCCAGAGAATCCTTAGATTCATCACTGGAGGGGCATTCATGATGAAGCCATTAGAGGAAGCAGTGCAGCTGCTGGAAAACATGTCCACAAATCACTTCAGATGACAACCAGACACTAGAACTACTGCCAAGAAACCAGGCATCCTCAATACTACCATTATCTCTTGAGTATGACAGTATCCTGTTCGCATTCTTCGCCTCGATACTAGCATGAAAGAAGGTTGTGTTCCTGTTACCTTCCTTCACCTAATTCTCTTTGGCTTTTTGTTCTAAGTAACTCATAGCAGCTTTACTCTTGTTGACATGTTGTTCTACTGCTTCTTTTTCTTTCGTTTACAGGTTTACATCACCCGAGTTATAGGCCAATTACACTCGTATTCTCTTGTCAGATTTTCCCAAGCTTCCTGCGCTTGTCTTTCAATAACAAAAAACTGCTCTCTGTTGAGGATCTTCAACTTGTCTTTTATCCCTTGCTGCCATTTTACTATTTGAAACTATTTGATACCCTCCAGATCCTTACTGCAAGACTGTTCTATTATGTCTTTAAATTCGGGGGACTGGCTCCACATATTCTAGTATTTGAAAGCCTTTTTCTTCATTCTATTTTCACCATTCATTGTAACTAGTACAAGGCAGTGATCAAAGATTCCTGCTTGGGGTAATGTTGCATAACCGGTATCATAATTTATCAACCATTTTTCATTGATTAAACATCGATGCATCGAATAGTTTTTTGATGTAGACAATCGAAACTGGTAATATGTAAGAGAATCAATCGTAAAATTCAATTATTATTCACAAATAAGTTGGCTAGTGATTCTACCAATATAAAAGTTAGTAGTTAGTATCAAAAGCAAAAAAGTGATTCAATACCAAAATTACCCATTACGATATTAAAAGTAAATTTTTTATTTCTCACTTTGGCTTCCATGATCCAAAAGCAACCAGATATATAAATAAATGCAGGCAATCCAAACTTTCGCACATTCTATGTTCCTAAATAGTTATGCAAGTGAGATTGTTTTTTTCACAACGATTTGAGATTTTTACAAAAGAAAAAAAAACACACACGCAAAAAGAAAATGCTTTGTATCTGTTCTGATTTCTTCCAACATGTTCAAAGAATTCAAATCTCAGGTCACCTATACTGTCCTTATCGTCTAGGCATAATTTTGAAGCATAAATTATTACAAAAAAAGATATCAATTTGAAATGATTGGGAAAACTTTAAAATTTTCAATTAACTCGTTTTGTATTTTGATTTTAACCTCCAACGAGGAAATTAAAGAAGAAAAGCGAGCAAATCTTCTTCTTTGTCTTGCTTGACCTCATCGTAAATCCATTGATGGTGTTGTGGTCGGCCGATTATATTTTCATCGTCATAACTAGAGAAAGAATAACAAAGATATGATCAGAGATTTAGGTTGTTAAATAAATGGAGTATTTTAGTAAATTTTGTGGATGCTATAAATTTGTTTTGACAGCATCATAACCTTTACTTCCACAAACCCTTCGTTACAACGTGTAAGATCCCTAATGGAAGTAACCCAAATCTCCATTCATCTCGCAACATTTTCTCCGCTATTCACGATTTGTGTAATACTTAAATTGTCAGCCTCCGTGATTACTCTTATTCAAGGAGCTAGCTTTAAAAGTACTGTTGACATTTCTCTCACCATGTTCCAAAGTTATAAATAGACATTGAAATAAATTTCATAATTTAGCTCCAGTGGTAGAACAATACGTTGGATTGATTGTGTTTATATATATATTTTTTTCTGGCTCAACTCTCAAGATGATCGTATTGTTTGAGTTTTTATTTGTAATAAAATTTGGAACTCTAAATTATACAATTATTTCGGGACAAAAGGGTAAATGAATTGTACAAGATTCGTACTGTTGGGACTAAATTTTTCGCAGTCTTGATCCGCATGCAATGGGATGGATGTGCCTGATGAAGAGTCTTTAAGCATTTAAAGGAGATGTACCCTTAAATCTCCGGGCATGGGTAGTCCACATGCACTTTACTTCACCAATGTCAATGGAGGCAGAATTAAGTTTGTTAATAAAGTTAACATCGTAATTATTTAAATTGTTAAATCGACAAAAATAATTATTCTGTTAAGAAGAAGGGTTGTTAAGTGACAATTGTCTTGACCGGTCCAAAATACTTATGTTGCTAAGTTAGATTTCGATACAGGCAGGGTCTGTTTAACATTAGACTATTAGTTAGTGTGTGACACAAATCCACGACACATGAAATCATCCAAGTGCGAAGATGCTAATACCACAAGTCCACAACAACCAAACGAGAAGAGGATCAGATTTCTATTACACTTAAAATTTGTGTTTCTTTTTCACACCGTGGAGAAACTGAAACGAAATTAACTGTTCTTTTTGTAGGAAAATGCCTTAGAAAACGAAACATGAATTCTGCAAAATCATATATACTGTGCTGTGTCGTACAAAACTACATCTAAAATGCATGCCCACCTGGATTCCATTAAGTTAATAGTTACTACACACAGCTAACCACCTCATGATCACTTGATCGCCTATAAATAGAGGATTTTCTGGGTTGGGTTTTTGCATCAAAACACATAATTCTCCAAGTTGATCACAAACAACATTCTTTTATAGTTTTATAAGTTTCTTGAGAAATGATGGCTTTCAAAAGCCCCCTATACTTTCTTCTCTATGTCATGATATTATCACTTGCTATATTCTGCTCAGCAGAAGATGATGATGACAAAACTTACTCTTCCTCTAAAGCAACTTACTACAAAAGCGTGAAGGAGGTGATTCAAGTATTGTTTTCTCTTTTATAAACAAATAAAAAAACTGTTCAATCGTAACCTGACCGAAATTACTTATGCAGAAGGAGCTTGCGGACTGAAAGAATGGGAGAAAAAAGTTTACGACGGTAAAGTTGGCGCAGTCAGCTATAGGCTATACAAGGATGGAAAAAGCTGTGGTACATGCTATGAGGTTGGTTTTGTTGTTCTTTCAATACGTGTGACATCGATTTATCTCATTTTGCTATAAAATTTTTAACTGATGAACTTTAAATAGTAATGTTATTGGAATGATTTGATACAGGTGAAGTGCAAAGAGAAGAAATGGTGTAGTGAGAAGGGCACAAAAATGGCGGTGACCGATTGCGGCAAAGGCCGCGAAGGAACGGATTTCACCATGAGTTACGAAGCCTATGGAGATATGGCCAAAGATGAAGAGTTCAAAAACGCCTTTTCAAAAAGGCGAGGTTGAAGTTAAATACAAGAGGGTTAAATGTGATTATTACAAAGATGGCCAAAAATTCATTGTGAAATATGACAAGAAGAACAGCAAGTGGCCGGATTACCATAAAATCACAGCAATGTACAATGATGACAAAGATTACATCGCCAAAGTTAAAATTATAGCTGAGGTTAAATAATCTTACCCTACTAGAAAGTAAACTTAAATATTATTAGCCTTCCATAATTAAACCTTTTTAGAGTTCAATTAACGTCTTTCTCTTCTTCTTTTTTTTTTTTTTTTTTGGCGCCTTTTTTGGTGGTTCAGGATGAGAAGGAGAAGGAAAAGGAGAACGAAAAGGAGGAGGAGAAGGAGAAGGAGAAGGAAAAGGAGAACGAAAAGGAGAAGGAGAAGGATAAGAAGAAGGAAAAGGAGAACGAAAAGGAGAAGGAGAACGAAAAGGAGAAGGAGAAGGATAAGAAGAAGGAAAAGGAGAACGAAAAGGAGAAGGAGAAGGAGAAGGATAAGAAGAAGGAAAAGGAGAAGGAGAAGGATAAGGAGAAGGAAAAGGAGAACGAAAAGGAGAAGGAGAAGGAGAAGGAGAAGAAGTGGGTGTTTAAGGAAATGAGAAGAGCATATGGAGCAGTTTGGGACATTGCTACTTATAAGCCAAAGTCATTTGTGGAGATCGAGACAGAGAAGGGAAAGAAATATTATGAGCGGGTTAAATACATGGACAAAGATGAGAAAGATGAGAAAGATGATAAGGGTGAAAAAGATGATAAAGATGACAAGAATAAAAAAGATGGAGCAGCTGATGATGATCGTGATCATGGGAAATCTTCAGCTAAAGCAGCCACCGAAAAGCTCATCAACTAAATTATATGTATTCAACGCTACCTGAAGAAAAAAATGGAGTACTTATTTGGGGGGTAATAATCGTGTGGTTTTAATTATCCCAAGTGATTCTATAGTTAAATATGAAATACTATATGCTTAAGAGTGTTTGTAAACGATGCTTTCTACATAATTGATCGGATATTTATGGAATGAAAGTAATTTCTATTAAGATTAATAAATTACAAGTTAATTTGAATTATGATCTGTAGTATATTATTTAAATACTTAACATCTGCTTACATACTTTGCTTTTGTGTGTGTGTTTATGTGAATCAACGAAGAAGGAAAAGACCACTATTTCACGATGCTTTCTACATAATTGATCGGAAATTTATGGAATGCAAGTAATTTGTCTGTTTTCACAGATCGCATCGCCACCTTAGGGATCAACAATGGGTTGTTCTCTTCTTCACATAGATCTACACTATTATGGATCAATCATTGGAAGAATTTTGTGCCAAGATGTTTGAATAAACCAAAAAAGGTGCCTCTTCCGCCTCGGTTGGTCGGAATCTGGGTCAAGGAAACTGTTTGGTTGGGAAACTCATAGCCCAAGAGATCGCTTTCTTAGCCATAACAACATTTTCAACCATTTAAAACCTACTGGAATATACGAGTGATAACACTTAAATTTGCCCCCCTTTTAGGAACCAATTTTTATTCCTTTTTACTGATAAATTAGTGTCAATTAAGTAGAATTACTTTAGTTTTGGGTTAATTTTACATTTCAGGGGATCAGAGGGCTAAAGGGGAATTTCCCAAAAATATTGCGCCAAAAACTGAAAAAGAGCATCAAAAGGGTTCAGAAATGAAGTTGTTGGAAATCAAGGCTAGAATTGATCAAAAGAAGAGAAGGCAAAGGTTGAATCCTTGCTGATAAATTAGGAATGGCTGCATCATCATCACAAGTTGATGTTCTTTGCAAATGGAAGCCCAAAGAAGAAGAAGAAAATGCAGCAAGTTGAAGCCATTGTGTTGCTGTTGTTGCTAATTCTGATCGATTGAAGAAGAAGAGAAGCTGAAATCGTGCTACTGAAGGAAGATTGTTGATCCACCATCACAAGTGGTTGATTCCTTGCAAGTGGAAGAAGAGAAAGAGGAAGAATATTGAGCTCAATTAGGACCATATTGCTGTTGTTTCTGATAAACAAGAAACCAAGAATCAAGGAAGAGGCTGCTGATGTTGATGCTGGAGCTGCTACTGTTAGGGTTGAGTTCAATCAAGCAGAAAAGAAAGAGCAGAAGATTGGAGGCTGGAACAGAGGAAAGAAGAAGGAACATGATGATTGAACAGAAGCATGTTACTGATGCAACTGCTATTGTCTCTGCTACTGGTTGATTGAAGGATTACGGAAAGAAGAAAGGAAAATTGGTAGCTGGAATTGAAGTAGAGGCGCCGGAGAAGAAGACTAAAGGATGAGGCCATGATAAGAAGAAGTTGACTGTTGGGGCTGAAGAAGAAAAGGGCGGCCAATCAAGTAACTAACTAAAAATACTAGGTAATTAGAATACTGACTTTAATTTCATCAATCCTTTCTTAAAAAATTTAAGGAATCCAATTCCAGATTCAAACTTACGCAATCGACCCCTATTTTACCATATATGTATATATATATATATATATATACAGACACACACACACACATGCATAAGTAACCTAAAAGACACATAGAAAGAATTCTAAGGTTCATTTTTTCTTTAGCGGAAAACGTCGTAAGTTTTGATCCGGGCTACGATGGAGGAGAAAAAAGATTGTCATCACATCCTAGAAATCAACTTGGTTTCCGCCCAAGATCTAAAGAAGGCAAACAAAGAGCAAACACAACAAACCTACGCAGTGGTTTGGGTGGATGATTCGTCCAGGAAATTAAGAACTCGAACCGACTGTTTCGGAGGCGAAAACCCTACCTGGAATGACAAGTTTCTGTTTCGAGTTTCATCGGAGTTCATCTACAGCGCCACCGCTGGATTCAACGTGGAGATATACAATGTGGGGCGGCTTCACTTCACGAAGGATTCCCTTGTCAGAACCGCCAGATGCCTGCTGAGTAGCTGTCTTGGGAATTTGATCACCACAGTTCACGTCCACCGTCCCTCTGGAAGGTTCCAGGGATTCTTGGACGTTGGCGCCGGGCTTTGTGACAAGGAAAACGTCGGAGCTAATTTGGTTATACTACTGAAAGAATCTTCGGTTGTCAACTTTCACGAATTGAGTCAACCTAAATCTCAATTCAAAGTGGAGGAGGAGGGCAGCACCAAAAGTAGTAGTAGCTTGTTGAAGAAGTTAAGGTTGGTCAGATCGTCGCCGTCGTTGTCAACCATGTCAGAGCCGTTGACCAGATCGGAGGTTACAGCTACGATGAAGACCGTCAAATCAGATTCTTCGTTGAAGTCATTGGCATCATTATTATCTCTATCAACTCTGTCCGATGACGATTAAGGTTGAGAAGGAAACACTCTCTTTGGCCAAAAGAGTCGCAAAAGAATCGCTCGCAACTTTACTTGTAGACTAAGAGTCAACAATGATGTTTTAATTCATGTGGTACGTTGTTTATCCAAATTGTATGGGAGTTTTCACTGTTGTAATAGAGATGAATATATTGGTTAAGTATAAATCTGATTATAATGAATATTTTCACATTAGTTTATTGGTTCCAGTTCCAGTTTAACTCCCATTTTTTGACATTAACTAGGCTACGTAGCCGCATAGGCCTATTCATTCGGGTCAAAATAGCGGGTTTCGGGTCAATATATTCGGGTCAATCGGATCCTCGGGTGAAAAACGGGTTAACCCGATTTAAGCACAATATCATTTGATTAACAACCCGAATAACTTTTTCGGTTATTCGGGTTTCCGGTCAGGTAATCGGGTGCAATCGATATAAACAGATAATATTTCCAAATATTTTTTTTAAAGCAGATTTATTGCAGCATGTTTTTTTCTTTTGGCCCATAATTTTAAATATCCTTACACTCATCATCCATGTACACTAAAAGGCACATAAAAATCCAATTACAAGAAATATTACAATCTCTAAAATAAACATTAGGACTGCATCTTGAAAAAAAAATTTTAAAAAAGCATTAGAGTTGTTGCTGGACAAAATTTAGATGCATCATCATTTTCTGCTCCACAAAGAGGTGGCCTTCTGACTCTAGCTTCCTTAGCAGATACTCTGCTGACTACTAGACAACTCCTTAATGAACATGTTATAGACAACTCCTCCACTTTCCAATGGTATTTCCAATTCAACACAAATGCACATCATCCACAAAGTTCAACCAGGAGAGTACAAATAGCAAATCACCAGCATACAAGAAGTTTTTTCCTGAATGTAAAACTAATACATCCCAAAGTTGAAATTCAACTCATGAAGTTGTTTTAAGACAAAAACACATCAAGCCAGTGACAACTTTCAAACACAGCATTGTTATTTCTTCTGATAAAAATGTTCTAAATGCAGCCATGAGTAACAAAATCAGTAAATTTTATTCAAGGAAAGTTGTCAGACTAGTGGGATCTTGTGCATTTTTATCTCAATCAGACAAGTAAAAGATAAAAAATTGAGAAGGTCCTTTAAGTGCCCTAAGAAATAAGAATAACCATTGCAAAAGGATATATTGTAATGAGATTCAAACCTTCAGCAAAGCCTCCATAGTTCACATTTATGGTGTAGTCAGGTAGAGAAGAACCAAAAGCTCTGACACTGAAAGTCCATATTTCCCCATCTTGTATATGATATACCAAAATCACAAAAATAAAGTCCATACACATCGTAAAGGAACAGAGAGTAGGTAAATGTAATTTGAGTGATTGCTCATGCTTATGGATATGGTCTTGCTGTGAAGATATGAACTTGAATATCAAAATACAGTTTTGCTCAATGCAGAAAGCCGTATATCAGGCAGTTTCCACATGCCTATTCACTATTTAAATACTAAGTGAGTTTATCAAAGAGTTTGATGCAAGATGTAATGACCAGAATTACATCAAATATCCAACACCAAAGCAGAAACAATGGTCTTCGGACCCAGGTAGAAAGAAAAATAGTATAGCTGTTACAGCAATACTCAGACAGAAAGAAAACTTGCTGATGATAAAAAGTACAGCTGTGTCTTTTGAAATGCACTTTACTGCAGAAAGAAAACTACCTAAGTCATCAAACAATCATTTTGAAATCTCTACACCTGAAATCTCTATATCTTCTTCCTCCATATCTTCTGCTTCTATATCAGTGAATTCTGCATTATAGAAACAAAATAAAGACAAGTAAAGGCAGCAACATTTCAGACAATGATAATAGAAGTTAAATTATTCAAAACAAAGCAGTTAAAACACAAAAATACAACCTTCTTCACTTTCTTCAAGTACTTCAAGGGTTCCTTCAACATTTATGGGTGATTGATCCCTACGAAGCCAATCTTGCGTCCAAATCAAGGCTTCAACCAATTCAGGAGTTAAGGAACTCCTAAAAGGATCGATAACCCGACCACTTGTGCTAAACACAGATTCTGAGGCCACCGTTAAGATTAGAATCCCCAATACATCACGAGCAACCAGAGACAAGATTGGGAATCTAAAACCATTAATTTCCACCAATTCAGCACATCAAATCCAGCCACATTGGCTTCAATCTTTTCCTTTAAATATTTATCCAACTCGGATTTATAGTTTTTCAATACTTTCTCTGTTTTTCACTTTTTCATGTCCCTCCTAACTTTTTCTTGCAAAATAGCAAAAGGCTCCATGTCGATTGAATTACCAATAGATGAAGAACCAGCCAAGGGAGAAGGGGTAGATAGGGAGGGAAAAGTAGGAGCAGCATGAATTCGTATGTAATCCTGAAAAAGAGCTCTCAACGTTTTCTTTGTTGATTTAGCCAATTCCTTACCAACATTTTCATTGAAGTTTATCAAACCCTCCAAATTAGTGTGGAATGGGTTATTGGGTTTGAAATCCAAAAAATTTACTATGCTGGATTCATTACTCACTAACCAAACAACATTATTTGAATTCAAAGCCACACTATCGGTTTCACACCCCCCAAACCAAGCACCTCCTAACATTCCCATGAATTACAGAACTGGTTAGTTGAATCGTGACTAATTATTAGGAGTACCCTAATGAATTTAGGGCATGCAAAGAGTTATGACGGTACAAGAACATCCTGAAGAAGAATACCCTACTTAATTTATGGCATGCAAAGAGTTAGCTATGTACGCACAAAAACAAATAAAACGAACAAACACTATATTGTATACTCTCAACCGGGAGAATCTAAAGAAACAAAGTTCTTTCTCTCTCACATTCTGCCAGTTGAATCTCCATCGAATCTCTATATGCAGCTTTACTATCAGGCTCATCGTCCCGCATATCGTCCCCGATGACGATGATGATCTAACCAGCCTCGAGGCTCTCGACGTTTATGATTCAGCCCGTGAAGAAAAAATAAATGACAAAAATTTCATTATGTCTCTCAATTTCGTAGAGTTAGATCCCACAAGCCAGAATCAGTATTTTTATTGAGGATTTCTGCACCACTTTGTAAATTTACTTACCATTTTTTTAGATATCTTTTTTCTTTCAACAAAAAAAAACAATATTATATATAATTATAAAAAAATAGGCCAGCGAATATAATAAACCCTTTATCAAAAATAATTTTAATTTTATGCAAAATTAGCACTCTTATTTAATCTAGAGGATCGACGAATTCGAACATTAGATTTGGCCTTGCTTTTTTTCTTACAATTGTGGTGTGGAAGAGCAGAAATTTACTGCAAAAGGACTCCCGTTCCATTGCCAGTTCTATATCAAATTCATCATCTTCTGAACCATAAGAGGCTTGATTTTATTCATCTTCAGAATTAATGTGATCAATGGAGAAATTTGTATCAAAAGACTTTGTATTCTTCCTTATCTCCGTATCATCTTTGGATATGTATTGCCTTGGGGTTGGAATAGGGAGTAAAACTAGGAGAAGAGGGATTTTTGGTATCCTTTTAATTCAAGAATATCCCCCAAAAAAAGTGTCGTTTCATGCTAGTTTTGGAAAAGAATAATAAAATACCACTATTAAAATTCCACTTACCTTTCTTTCTTTTTCTTTTTTTTTTTTTTTGAAAGGAACGACAAATTATTTTCTCAGGTTTTACTTCACGTTTTCACTCGACCATAATCATTAGATTTTTGTTATCTAGCTTCTATTAAATTCGATTCTCATTTTAATGACTAACATCCGAGCAATTCTTTTTCCACTATTTTTAACCAATGATTAATTAGTGTTTGATAAAGAAGCGAAGAATTTGGAGGAGTTCACAACGATTCTATTATTTTCCGTAAATTAATTTTTTCTGGTAGTGGTTATACGTACAAGCTAATACAGACCTGGTTATGTATGCGTATGGTAACATTGTCGCATCAAGTGGATATGACACGATAAAACATCACTATGGACTATATTTAAATGTATTCATAATAGAACATGTAGACAGATATGAGAAACCAAAGTCATCATTATATAATTTTTGACATGATATAATTATATTAAAATGTTTTCATGGAACATCGTTGCGAGATACAACGTGAATTTGTAGTGTAATGCATTAGCTTTGAACCAGCGGGTTGGGTACGGAATGTGAAATTGTTGACTGACGCAATTGAGAGTGACAAGATGGTCAGAATTTTCGATTTCTTTAGATGAGATACTTTGGAGCACAATATTTTCAAGAACACTTTCTCTCCCTAGAAGGTTTTAATCCAGATTAAATTGACGTCATTACATTAATATAACGCAAAGGTAAAACCAAATCAGCACAAAGAAAGAAATAATCGTTCCATCCCATAGCGAATGTTGAGTTTGTAGAACTCATGTTACAATAAGACAAAGGAAACTTAAAGTAATCAAAATTAAAACAACACAATGGTACTAAGAAATCAAGATCCTAAAATGGAAAGAAAAACAGACAGCAGTACTTTGCGTGATAGTATATTGTTTAATAGTTAACTTCCTTTGAAAATAACTCCATAATTTATTTCTTAATTGGAGGAGTACATCAACAATTTATTTATTATAGAAAAGAGAACCTATATATAGTTCCCATCATGAAGTCGATCATTTACCCTGAGCACCACCCTTCTGATTAGCATGGAGGCCAGAGAAGTAGCCCTTGGGATCCTTCTCGAAGTTATCCCTGTTGATATGAACAGCTCCGCCAGTTCCCGGAGCTTTCATGGTGTTCTCACCGCCCTGCTTATTGTTGCCTGCCGACCCTCCGCCGCCATTGCCGCCCTTGTTGCTATTCATCCTTGATCAATTTGATGGAGTTTGTAGGAAATCAGATTTTAGTTTTTTGTTTGTTTTCCACAGGAAGCCTGATACATAGGTTGAGAGAATAAACCAGTATTTATAGGCACACTGTGATGAAATGGATCGCTTTCTCATTAATTCTGAGATCAATTAATCTTCTCGTGAACCGAAGAGTTCATTCAACGCAATGACTAATTTTTTGCGCCGTGCTCCAAGTTTCAATGGGATTTTGGTGCGATTATCAATAAGCAAAATTTGAACGCCATTGCATATGTTGTTTTACAGAAATTAGCGTCTCTTCGGAATCATTCTAAATGCTGGATTTTGAATTTTTGTAACTTAGTATGAAGAAGTTTGCCGAAAGGTCTAACCAGTAAAAATGTTACGTACTCAAACCTTTTGATGACAAAATACGGACCACCGAATTGGAATGGACTTGGTAGTGCTTCCATGCAACTTAATTTATTGCAGTTGCACTTATCGAATTTCATCGGAAATTATTCCCTGCGCAGCTAGCTGCACTTAATGGTAAGTGCATTGCACGCACTACGCAGGAGCGTGGGTCAGACCACGCTCTCTTTTAATGCGCAAGTTTCTTTTTTTTTTTTCCTTTTTCTTTTTGGTTTAGGGAGAGATTTTGGGGGATTTTTTCTTTCTTTTTTTTTCGGTTTTACGGGGGAAATTTTGCGAGTTTTTTTTAATGGGATTTTTCTTTTTTTTTTTTTGTGGTTAGCGGTTTTTTTAATACGCATGATTTTTTCTTTTTTGCCTGTTTTTGTTTTGTAGTTTTTTTTTTTTGAATTAGGATATTGGGCATTTATGTAGATATAATAATTAATCTCTATTTTGATTATTTAACAATGGAAAACTTCATGTGTTTTTCTTTTTGCAATTTAATTCTTTTCATTGTAGTTCCAATTTCTTACTTAATTTTATTTTGAATTATATAATAAACCATATAAAATATACTACACCCCTTTTAAAATTATATAACAAAATCATAAAATAGATACGATGCATGAATTTTAAAATTTTATATATTAAAACTATAAAATAAATTACTATTGCATTACCTATGAAATTATATAATAAAACCATAAAACAAATTACTATTGCATTACCTATAAAATTATATAATAAAACCATAAAACAAATTATATAGTGGAGCTAAGACCACTAGTTCCAAGAAATAAGACTAGATTGTCTTTTAGGAAGACAATTGCAATTACATACAATTCCTCACACATGTTCGTTCTGATATATCCTCCGAAAAAATAATTCTAATATATGAATGGAGTGTTGCGCATGCGGCCGAAAAGCTCGCTAGTCGGAGGCTATGTTAGCATACCTCGCTCCTCATACACGAATGCTCTGATATCTCTCCCCTCCCCCCTCCCCCCTCCCCGAAAAAAAAAAAATCAATTTATACTGCGCGTCCGAAAAGCACATTAGCCGAAGGGTACGTGAGCATCGGCCGCAACTCAAACACTGTCGCTCTTCACACAGTCTCGTTCTTCACACACGACCGCTCCGATATCTTTCCTGAAAAAAATTTCCAATTTATATTCGAATGGCCGCGCACGCGGCCGAAAAGCACGCTAGCCGAAGGCTACGTGAGCATCTGCGGCAATTCACACACTGCCGCTCCTCACACACGCCCGCTCCTCACACACGACCGCTCTGATATCTCCCCAGAAAAAAAGGTTTTCAATTTATATTCGAAGGCGCGGCCAAGAAGCATGCTAGCCGAAGGCTACGTGAGCATCTGCAGTGAAGTATCTGTTGCTCCTCACACACTATAGCTCCTTACACATGCCCGCTATGATATCTCCCCCATAAAAAGGTTTTCAATTTATATTCAAAGGGCCGCGCAGGTAGACGAAAAGCTCGCTAGCCGAAGGCTACATGAGCATCTGCCGTGAAGCATCTGCGGCTCCTCACACACGCCCGCTCCGACATCTCTCCCGTAAAAAGGTGCATCTAGCTAAGTGCACTTAGATATTATTTTAATTATTTAATAATGGAGGGACTTCATATGTAATTTATTTAACATACATTCTTTTTTCTTTTTAAATGCACGTGTCCTTTCCCCTTAATTAGGAAATAGGGTTTAAAAATTTCTTTTATCTTCAAATGATTTTATTTCTTAATCCGTAATTAACTAAGCCAAGTGTCTTATATCATTTTGATAGTACTCGACAAAATCTATCCAACAAGATCCATCATAAATATATTTTCTCGAAACTTTAAAAAATTTATTCAGTTGGCTTGGTTATCTTAAAAGACGCTATGGTCTTACTTGTGTCTTTTAGGACCAAGACCTAGAACAAATACCAAAGACCAAAAACCGAAAACCAAAAAGAAAAGACAAAGAACCAAAGACCAAAGATCAAAGTGAAGAGCGAGCATGTGTGAGGACCAAAGACCAAACACCAAACACCTACGACCAGAGTGAAGAGTGAGCGTATGTGAAAAACAAAGACCAAAGACAAAAGGCCAAAAAACAAAAACCGAAAACTAAAGATCAAAAACCAAAGATCAAAATAAAGAGCGAGTGTGTATGAGGAGCAAAAAACCAAACACCAGTGGCTAAAAGACCAAACTAAGCCCTAACCAACATGGAAATGCTTAAATTCCCCCAAACACTACACCCTAAATAACTAGACCCTAACCGACACAAAAATGGTTAAACCCACTAAACCCTAAACACACTAATATTTTTTTTATTTTTTTTTTTGGTTTAAACCCTAAACACACTAATTTTTTTTTATCTTTTTCTGGTTTCCAATATATATTTGAAAGACCACGCATGCGGCCAAAAAGCACGCTAGCCGAAGGCTACGTGAGAATCTCCCGCAACTCTCACACTGCTGCTCCTTACACACGCCCGCTCCTCCCACACGACCGCTCTGATATCTCCCCCCAAAAAGGGTTTCCAATTTATATTCGAAGGGTTGTGCAAGCGGCCGAAAAGCATGCTAGCTGAAGGCTACGTGAGCATCTGCCGCAACTGACACACTGTCGCTCCTCACACACGCCCGCCCCTCACACGCGACTGCTTCGATATTTCCCCCCCGAAAAAAAGTTTCCAATTTATATTCGAAGAGCCGCCCAGGCCGCCGAAAACACGCTAGCTGAAGGCTACGTGAGCATCTGCCGCAAAGTATCCGTCGCTCCTCACACATGCCAGCTCCGATATCTCTCCTAAAAAACGGTTTCCAGTTTATATACGAAGGGCCACGCAGGCGGCCGAAAAGTACGCTAGCCGAAGGCTACGTGAGCATTTGCCGCGAAGTATTCGCCGCTTCTCACACACTCCTACTCCTCACACATGTCCGCTACGATATCTCCCCCGGAAAAAGGTTTCTAATTTATATACGAAGGGCCACGTAGGCGGCCGAAAAGTATGCTAGCCGAAGGCTACGTGAGCATCTGCCGCGAAGTATCCGTCGCTCCTAACACACGCTCGGTCCTCACACATGACCGCTTCTCACTCACGTCCACTCCGATATTTCCCCCAAAAAATGATTTCAATTTATATTATGGGTGATTTTTTAATATGTAAAAAATGACCAAGACCTAGAGGAAATGTAGGAAGACCAAAGGTCAAAGTTAGAAAAAAACTAAAGACCAAGGACCAAAGACAAAATACTAGAGTGAAAACCGATTGTGTGTGAGGAGCAAGGAGCAAAGACCAAAAAATCGAGGACTAAAGACTAAAGAGCAAAGACCAGAGTGAAGTGCGATCGTGTGTGAGAAGAAAAGACCAAAGACCTAAGGCCAAACGCCAAAAACCAACAAACAAAGACTAAAGACCAAAGACCAAATACTAAAGACCAAAGACCATAGTGAAGAGCGATAGTGTGTGAGGAACAAAGACCGAAGACCAAAGGCCAATGATTAGAGAGCAAAGACCAAAAGTCAAAGACAAAAGATTAAAGACCAAAAACCAAAGACCAATGACCAAAGGCCCAAGACCGAGAACCGAGGACCAAAGAAAAAATATCAAAGACCAAAGACCAAAGACCAAATTGAAAATTAAGCGTGTGTGAGGAGCAAAAACCAAACACCAAAAAACCGAACACCAAAGACCAAAAAGCAAAGACCATTGACCAAAGATCGAAGAGTAAAGACCCAAGACCAGAGTTAAGAGCGAGTGTGCGTGTGGAAGAAAGACCAAAGACCAAAGGCCAAAAATTAAAAATCGAAGACCAAAGATCAGTAGTACAAACAAGCATAACCAAAGTATCTTTCAAGAAGACCAAGGCAAATATGTAAAAGTCAAGACCCATAGCAACAATTAGAAAGACCAAACAGTTTGCACAAAATACTTAGGAGCAACAAGTAGGACCAGAGTGTCTTCCAGCAAGACCAAGGCAACTAAATAAATTTTTTTAAAGTTTCGGAATACATATTCATGAGGGAATTTGTTGGATAGATCTCGTCAAGTACTATCAAAATGATATAAAACACTTGGTCTAATTATTTACGGATTAAGAAATAAAGTGATTTGAAAATTTAAGAAATTTTTAAAACCCAATTCCTAAAATTAAGGGGAAGGGGCGCGTGAGTTGCATATTAAAAAAAATTAGGACCACGAAAATAAAAGGATGTTGCACGTGCGCGTGTTTACATTAAGCACATCCTCCAACATTCACTTAATGCTTATGTTATATCTTAGGTTGAGTTGAATGTGCTATCAATAGACTAATGAACCCTAAATCAAATGGTCGATAAAGATTAATGGTTCGATTCATATAGATGAAGCCATCTCCAACCCAATACTTTAAATTACAGTACAATATACTTTAAACTTCAGTATTTACAGTGTTTTACAGTAAGTTTCCTCCAATCCAGTACTCTATATTTAACTTAAAAAGATATTCTTTTTATATTCTTCTTTACCTTTTATTATTTTATTATAATTATTAATTTACTTATGCATTTCAATATAATAAACATCAAACAATAATAAAAGTATATAAATCAAGTATATG